TAAATATGAAGCTACAGCCAGCAAAACTTAGCCGTGCTACCTTTAGAGAGAGTGGTATTGATCTTCTCATCTAACTCTTGGCAAGATTTGTTGGAATATTCCTTTAACTAAAACACACACTTAACAGCACACTTAACTGTGTCCATGGTGGGGATGTTAAGGGGAAATCTGAAGGCCGATGTCCCATGTTAAAATATCTTTCAACTCCATTCATATTTTAGTATAGATATAACGTTTCAGGTATGTTGACTGAGATTGTATTGATTGAGAATACATAAAGACATCAAACTTCAGTGGGTATAATGTTATTCATCCACTTCTGATTCAAGAGAATTTTTACAGCTATTTTGTTTATATTTAGCACATAACCCTCAAACCTGTGGAAGGTACCTTCCACAGAGTTTCTGTGGCTCACACAGCTCACTGAGGCAAGTTAGACTTTTTGAAGGTCATTGCATTAATCAGTGTTGCTAAACTCAAACAGGTCCGTATCTTTTATACCCTGGCGTAGTGGTGCCTGTACTTTATTTTGGTGCCCTGCCAGTATTGAGTGTTTGTGCTTGTTTGTCAAGGACTACTTGAATTTAAATTCAAGTTTGTACAATCCCAGACAGACCTGAGAAACCTAAGCAAAGTCAGTCAGCTATGCAGTGCATGAAGGTCAAATAAAGATGAGACCAACAGAGAGAACCAGACATAAATGGAATGTTCAGGTTATACTGCACCACAAAAACACAAGCCCATTAGGAATCATGAGCTCCAATAAAATAACTAATAATGTTAAGGAGGGTTTGTGCTCTTTTTCACATCACAGATGGTAGACAGTGAATCAGAACTCATTAATGTTTAATGAGATGAGGCAAAAGTCTGACCACATTGGGGTTTATCACAATGAAAGAAGGGGCTGTGGTAAAAAGGAAAATACCACACTCTGCACTTTTTTTAACCTCTTGTGAAGTCTGTGTTGGACTTTTTTTATTTTAACAATCTAAACCTCTTTATGATATCTAGACTGTACATGTTTGAATTTGGAAAATATTGAGATACAAGTCAGTAACAACTTTATGGCTGAACATTTTCTGTCATTTTAGTTGAAGGAAAACAGCTTTTTCAGACAAAACAATGCACCATTTAGAATTACCACAGCCTATAATGTTACTGTTGTGTATAATATTGCATCTGGTAAGGTGATCATCTGTCTATAGTAGTCTCACTACTCTATTTTAAACTGCATACAATGGCAGTTAATGTTATTTGACCCAAAAAAACATTTGCTTTCATGCATCAAACAGACATTTTAATAATGTATTGACTTGTCATAAGAACACACAAAGCACCTCCTTTTCTCCAGACCTGAAACAGGACCTCATACTTTCATTCCTTCTGTTTGCTTACTGTGATGCTCCGATTGTTCTTCCTGAGATTGTAACTTGTATATTTAGATCAGAGCAAAGAGCAATGTTCAGTGAAAATGCAACAGAGCGCAAATTTGTGCTTATCCGTGGGCCATGCTGTTTCCTTCCTTGCTGTGAGGTTAATCATGAAGCCAATGCGCTTACCATTGAGGAGAATATGTGCAGCGTGACATAAATTCTTATTCTCAGCTAAATATTGAAGCTTATGAAACCAGAACAACACTGATGAGACATAACTTATAACTGTCAACTTGAAAGACAAGTGAACTCTGTGGTCTTTGGGTTCTGAAAAACAAACACACACAGAGTGCATACACAGAGAACTTTAACCTTGCAGCCTTGGGAGTAATACTTCAACCCCTAGTAATAAACACATGAAGGGATATGGAGATCACAGATGCAGACATACAGAGAGACACCCCATATCTGAGCACAAGTCAAAGCAGGCACACACAACCAAAAGTGAACCCATGAGAGTGGCTGTAAAAGCTGGGATAGTGCCTGCCCTTTGGCTGCCAGACAAGGCTCATAAACATTCATATGAATCCCAGCGAACCATAAATGCCCTCCTGTGCACTCACGATAGGACCGCACATTGTGATCAGTAGGTGACCCACACTGGGTGGGGAGGGTTGACGGGCTGTGCAGAGAGTGAACCTGAGCCTCTTTCGAGGGCCTGTTTCTCATTCTCTGAGTGGGCTGTTGCGAAAGCAGAGAGAGAAGAAGCATGTTGGGATGGAACTAGGTCGGGGAGGCATGTAGTTCACGTATGCTGGAAGAGGAGGGCTAAAATGGTTGGAAATCTCATGGGGCAGGTTCAGAGCAAGGTTAGCCAAATACTGAATAAATCAAAGGGGGCTTGGAAAGCCTTTTCCCTGCAGAAGGCGCTCAGCTTCAGGATGACTGACCAGGCGCAGGTGGAAGCAGAGGACTTAAAGTTTGGTCACACAGGGAGAAATCGGAGAGAGTGTAGCTGTCTCAGCTGTGACCACATTCCCAGGTGTCTCTGCTGGAAATTTCTGTTTTATTTAGGATTGTACTGTGGTCTTAAAACATGTGATTAGAAGTCTACAAACAATGTTTTTTTCTTTCTTTATGTGTGGTTCATTTGAAAAGATTGTGCAGTGAATTGAATCATCACCTCTGATACTGACCACAAATATGTTAATCTTAGATGTTTATAAGTGCTTATTGCCCCTTACTGAACCTTTGTTATTTAACACCCTATAAGTTCCTAGAAGTTCTATACTTTGAAAGAGAGCAACAGCTCTGAGTGTATTTTTCCTATATGCTGTCCAAGCATTTGTAATCCCAACACAGGGGCTTGGAAAGTCGGCCTCCAATGATCCATTAAATATATTATAGGCGCCTGGATCTGGAGTCCATTTGGCTGGTTGTGCAGTGATGCTGAACGCATGTAAAAGCTCAGCCAGTGCAGGATTCTGCCGTTATTCACATCACATACAGATCCTGTGACTCCCAGTTTCCTGGCAGATGGTTCACTGTGTCTTTGAAGCTTAATATGTATCTGCTGTATATGATAAATGTGTTTCCAAAACACTTCATATACATTTTCACTTCACAGTTATTTGATACTTGCGAAATATTGAAAATATTTGTCGACTACTGTCCTTTAAAAACACCATCGTTTCTGTCATTTTTTTGGAGCCAGTCACAATGTAGAATTTGTCACATTTGCACTAAAGCTCCAAATAAATATCAACTTGCTTTGTGCTAACACAGTTAAGACAAGTGCTTTTAGAAGCTGGCTATGTGAACAATGGACTATTACCTGTAATAAACCCTATAAATCTGTGTGCTTTGTGTACCAGAAGACACTGCCTGAAGGGAATAGCTGAATGAGCCTCAAGCCAGGGGCAACGAAGAGGTAGTGGAATGGAGTTCAGCGAGGTGTTATTTGTTACAACGCCTTATCCGCTTTCTCGGAATAACGCTGTTAGCCCCCTCACCAGTTTGTTGCTGGGTTCATCCATCACAGGGTAGGTAGTATGATAAAAAGGCTCAGGCCTAACCCACAGCAAGGGGCCAGCCGTGACGCCTCAGTTGACCTGTCAAACTGTAAGAATTATTATACACTGTGGTGTTAAAGGTCAAAGAGAGCAGCAAGCTCAGAGGGTGTCAGTCCTCAAAAAAACACACACACACACACACAGTAGATAAATGTGGGGAATTAGTTGCAATCCATTACTGAATGAGTAAACTGTATTACACATTAGACTATTAACATTAAGTATAGGCTACATGGGACTATTTGATATTTTTGTCACATTCATACAGGTGGTTATAGGCAACAAATAGAAATAAGAAACCTGTCAGAGATGATTGAAACAAACAACTTTTTCAGCTTGTTTAATGCTGCCATGAAATGTTCAGTCACTTCAGCCACTATTTAAAGAATGCTGCTTTTACAGGTAGATGCATCATACATATGCATTAGGTGGATGGGGCTGTAGTTCTACAACACAAGGTCAAACAGTTGGTA